TTGTTTGTTTAAATGGTTGCCTTTGACTACCAAAACATATTAATATTATTTATTTTATTTTTTACTGGGCAGATGGCGCCACTTTAATTTAGTCACACCCTCATCATATTTCTCTAACCCGATAACTTTCTCAAATTTTTCATCYGTAAGAACCTTCTCCTRRCAATTACGACCCAAACAAAAAAAGAGTGAGCGAAATCGTTTCAGCCGTTCTTTGATGACTTGTTATACATTTTTGTCTCCTTTTTTATATATTATATAGATTATATTTTTATACACAGAAATAAAATATAAAAAATGATATTATATATATTATATTATAATATATAATATTTTATATCTGTGCTATGCATATTAATATATTATCTATATCAGCTGTGGAGCTGGCTATGAGGCTTAGATCATTTACTATAATGATATATGGCAACCAGCAGTKCTGTGTAAATGTGTAATCTATCCCGAACGAATGGTGTCAAAAAAGCAGTGATGCGTAGTWAATAAACAATATTTTATTTTATTTTATATGTATTTTGTTTTTATTTATTAACATTATTTTCCCTAYTCGTGGTGACACTGATTTGAGAAGGTTTTAGTTTTTCGCATTTTTGAGAATTACATGGGCCGAATGGGGAGTGCACTATCTGGTTGTATATAATCTATTTTGTTTACATTCCATTYCGTTGCCCCGCACTATAGGATGTTTGTATTGCTAGGATACTGTCAATTCTGTGTACGTGATCGCTTATTACCATTTTCAATTCCGTCTGTTCATTAAACTCGCSGTCAATTGTTATTCGCAATCGGTTTTTTTCGTTGTACGTGATCATCGTTTGAACATTCACATACATTCCTATCCCGAGTATCCCGAATCGAAATCRCGTCTGCAGGTTTTAATTATATAACGGCAAACACCATAGTTGGTCGTAGCAGCATCCAGCCAGCCAGCCGTCCGTGAGAGGTAAGCGATAAAAATGATCATTATTATTAATAATTAATAGCAACAGTGCGTGTCGTATCGCGACGTGCCCTCAGGGTTCGCGGACCGGGTCGATCGGTAGTATCTCCGACCTATTCCGCGTACGACTTGACTACCCCTAGGTACTACCCCTAGGACTACCCACTACATGGGTTTAGTGACGTATGTTGTCACCAAACTCTTTTTGATAATTGCATGATTTCTCTGTTTTTTCTTTCCTGTCTCTAGATCCTAAACGCTCCAATTCATTGTCTTGTGGCTCGCCCAACGGCCCAACACTACTCTCCAAATGTCTTTGAGATCCATCCAAAAAGCCATACAGTCATATGGAAATATCAATAAAATCACCTCGTCCCTGAAACTTGTGTCAGCTGCAAAAATGGCCAAGACAGAGCGCCTGCTAAAGGACGTAAGACCATTTGGTCATGGCACATTATCATTTTACAAAAAATATACACACATCAATATGCTCGACCACATTCAAAACCATCTGATATTTGCGATCACTTCTGATCGAGGTTTATGTGGCGGATTACATACGGCTGTCGTGAAAAAAGTTAAACAAGAACTGAACCGGCCTGATCAACAATTTGCAAAAGTTGTGTGTGTTGGCCAAAAATCAGAGGAACTGCTAGCAAAATCTTATAAATCTAACATTTTATTCACAGTTTTCAAAATTGGCAAAGATAATCCCACATTTCTAGAAGCTTCAAAAATATTTAATGAATACAATTATGCTGAATTTATTGCTTGTCAGATGTTTTACAACCGTATTGTTACTAAAGGCACGTCACAAGTTGACTGGATATCCATTTATAACACAGACTTTCTTCTCTCAGTAGCTCATATTGCAAGTTTAGAAGAAATAGAAGAAGAAACTATGAAAAGCTATATTGAATTTTCTACTGTTTCACTTTTATTTTTTGCCATGGTAGAAAATA